ACAATCTCTTTCATAATAGGACTCAAGGAGTCGTTAATAGAACGATTAGAAGTGATAATGAGAGATGTCCAAACAAAACAGAAGAGAGAGAAGAGAGAGAGTGAGTATGAGTCAGACAACTGATAATTTATGTGCGCATGCGTGAAAATAATAATATGTAACCACAATATTATTAGTCTGTTGTACACTAAGTAAACAATAATAATAATAATAATGACAATAATAACAATGATAATAATAATAATTGATACACAGTTTACCCTTCACTACAAACACAATTGTATTCTAGCATCAATGTAAAATCAGGACCTGCATAATCCGCCTTAATTCAACATTTAGATTTTAACTGATAACTAAAAAAGTTATAATTGTCAATAAAATCTGAAGTATATCATCACAATTAAATTTATTATTAAAAGGAGCAAATAATAGTATTTCTCAAGAGAATGCTTAACTCCACTCGTCACTGTTCGTACTATTTCAAGGAGTTGTATGAAGGACCTAGAAATCACACATGATCATGCAATTTTAAAAAATTTGTGAAAATATTTATCAGTGATTATTATTTTAATCATATACTAATAGTCTAGTGGTCAGTTGAAAAAAAAACGCAAAAAAAAAAATTATGTGAATAGGTTGAAAGGTGATTTTCATGAAATATTCTCCCCAAGAAATATACCTCTATACGGTATTGCTTGAAGTGGTACTAGTCGTACTGTACTACAGTACTAGACTACTAGTGGCCATTTTGCATCACGTGACGTGATACACAGCCAAATACTGGTATAGTCACATTGATCAGGCCTGAACGAAACCAATCCTGATGTCAGACATGAATTATAGATTTTGGGCAATCAGTCCCATACTAGTACAATCATGGAATCAGACACAGTACAGGTATTTATGATGAGCATGCATACTGGATTGGGCCAGACCGATTTTTATGATTCAGCAATGATAGCCAACACGGCCCAACAGAGCTGTACCAGTACTGATAATATATTTTGATATAATTTTGGGCATGCAATTGAACTTTGCAATTTTAATCAAAGGTCATGTGTCATACCTCCACCTAATAATAATTATGTTCACATGACCAGCCGCCAACGCACCGGATCTGGCTATATTAATGTTGTTATGCATAGATTTTGCAATTTGAGCTGACACTGAGAACATGAAAACCACTAGCGCTCGTACCTTTCTGCTTGTATTCGTTGTCTCTTCACTAGTGGCTTATGTACAGGCTCTCACTGAGATATACATCTCGTATAATGGATCTGATAAAGCTCCGTGTGGCTCTTCTGTCTCCCCCTGCTCGTCTCTTTCAAATATATCTCACATGAAGAATGACACGGTTATCATCATTGAGGGAAGTATTGTGTTGGATCATCTCATTGAAATAAATCTGATACGCAACTTAACTTTTACCTCTCTATCTACTAGTAAAGAAATGACTGCTATTAATTGTGTGTGCCGCCCTCAAGATGATAGCTGTGGTTTGATTATTAAGGATTGTCAAAATGTCACCTTCAACAATGTAAGTGTAATTGGGTGTTCTATGCTACACAAATTAAATGCACAGGGTACATATCTCTATCGATCTGGCATTATAATCAATTCAACTACTAATATACTACTGAACACTGTAAAAATAGTTGATAGTATTGGTACTGGTTTGCTATTGATCAATTCAGCTGGGACTATTGATAGAACAAATTGACTTTTGCAAACAATTCTATA